ACCTCTGCAATCTCCTTTCACATCAGCGAATTCACACTGGAGAAAAGCCTTATGAGTGCAACAAATGTGGAAAAGTTTTCTGCTTTGGCTCTAACTTTTCTAAGTACAAGAAAGATCATGCTAGAAAAGAACCTTCCAAGGCTGGGTGTGGTGGCCAATGCCTGTAATCCCAATAGCTCAGGAGGCTGAGGCAGGAGGATTGCAAGTTCAAAGTCAGCCTCAGCAATTTAGCAACTCATAAATAGGGCTGGGGATGTGGCTCAGTGGTTGAGTGCCCCTTAGTTCAATCCCTGGTACCAAAAAAAAAGAGCCTTCCAAGTGCAGTGGACATGGGCATACCTTCGGCTAAAGCTCCAGTTTCTTTCAGCACTAGAAAAAGGCCTTAGGGGTGTGGACCGTGTGGGAAAGCACTGACCTCGGGCTTTCTTGTTCACTGTAAATGGCCTCAAATGAAAAATTTCTGTGAAGCGGGGTGTGGTGGTACTCTCCTGTGATCCTAGCTTCTTGGCAGAACAAAGTAGGAAAATCACAAGTTTGAGGCAGGTCTGGCAATTTAATGAGACCTTATCTCAAATTTAAGCAAACAGGGGCTGGGGATATAGCTCAGTCAGTAGAATGCTTGCCTTGCATGCCTAAGGCCCTGGGCTCAGTCCCCGCACCACACACACACACACACACACACAATAAAAAATAAAATAAGCAAACAATAACGGACAACAGTGAAATTTGTGAGAAGAATCTGTGAGGAAGCCCTCAACCAAAAGTTGAGATTTGTGTATCCCAACGCCCCTCATGGAGAAATTGCTTATGAGTGTCAGATATTAGGGAAGTGTTTCAGGAGCTGTGATCCCTGTGACCTGTCCAGATTCTTCATCAGCTTATGTCACAACCAGGTACCATCTCACCTTGATGGTGACGGCCTCTGCAACATGAGCTCCCATCCCTGAAGAGCATGATAGGGGCCCTTTAGGGTCACTAAAGTTCCCATCTCTTCTGTCCCCAGTGTTTAGTCGTCACCCTGACCTAGTTCTCTCCGGGAGCAATTTCCTTCCAGGTTCTGGTCAAAACTCCTTTTGTGGGGCTGGGGTTGCGGCTCAGTGGTAGAGCACTTGCCTAGGACGTATAAGGCACTGCATTCGAGCCTCAGCACCACATAAAAATAAAGGTATTTTTAAAAGTCTTAAAAAAAAACTTGTTCAGCCTCTGTATCATCCATCCTTCACAGTGTGGTGATAAAGTCCTTATTGTTGAAACCATTTGTTTAATCTGGGAGGCTCCACCCTCTTTGGGGAGAGACTGAAAAGTTAATTGGGCTCTAACAGGGCAAAGGAGGAGGATTTTGTTAGGGGCGTGTGGCTCATTTAGCTCAAGAAGCGTCACAGTAAGCATCAGCTCTCAGTGCAGTCAAATTCCTTGAGGCCTGAGGCCTTCTGGGACAGACTGATGGCCTCTGTTGTTGTGTTCCTCACGACTAAAGCACCCAGGGTCACTCCAGGGGAATGGGCTGCACGGAATGACCACACAAGAGACAGAGAGACTTTTTTTTTTTAATATTTTTTTTTAAGTTCTCGGCGGACACAACATCTTTGTTGGTATGTGGTGCTGAGGATCGAACCCGGGCCGCACGCATGCCAGGCGAGCGCGCCACCGCTTGAGCCACCTCCCCAGCCCGTCATGCTCATTCTTGACAGGACATGGACACCATGATTCCTTCTGTGTGGGACACTATGCCTGGAGTTGCCTCCTGGGAAAGGTTTTCTGATTCCCAGTCTGAAACGATGCTCATTCCTGCTGTCACTTCTGGCTCTTTCCTTTCCTTCAAAATTCTAATGGAAATAGCCCTGCCTGGAGTCGCCTCGTTTCTTCTCTGCTTGGTCAGATCTCTGTTTTCCCCATTCCGTTCAGGGACCTGGAGTGAAGACCATACCCACTGCGTCACCTCAGCTGCTTACCACAGGCCCCAGCCAAGGGCCTGCAGTCAGAAGCAGTTCAGGAAACATTGGTTGGTTGGCCCCCCACAGAATCCGCTTGGGCCACCTCCACACCTACAAACGTAGCTATTGCTTTTTGTGGAAAGTGGGAGAAAGAGCATTATGACAGGAAAAGAAAGAGTGAGTACCTTGCCACCTGATGATATCCCATACTGTATCCCTCGGCACTTAAGGACATTTATTTAATGAGTGCCATCTAAGCAACCACTGTGTGCTGGGGACTGCATTAGTAGAGCAGTAAACACACAGATGCCTTCTCTTGTAAGAAATAAAGAGACAAGCATTCCTTTAAAAAAAGAAATCGCAAAATACACATGGCTTTCAGTCCAGGAAAAGTGGCAAAGGCAGGACTTACCCTTCCACTGGAATAACCAGACGAGATATAAGAATGTTTTCCACACACTGTACAGGAGACAACATAGACCAGTGATCCCTCACAAAAGAGGTGAAGTGAGCTCTGTGGTGCCTTCTAGCTTCTGCCTAGAGAGAGCATTCAGGCCACAGCATAAGGAAGAAGATCCAGATGGAACCCGAGGTCTGCGGAGTTGAAGAGACTGGCTGAGAGCCCAGGAAAGCCGTGCAGCCTCGTTCCCACCGCGGACGGCTGCAGCCAGGAGAGCCGCAGAGCTCAGGAGCTGGCAGGTCCGTGTGAGGTGACGAGGGACAGATGGGACAGTCTCCAGAGTGTGAACTTGATTCTTCATTTTCTCACCAGGGAGGGAAGGAAGCTTGTGATTTGTGGGTTAGATGTATACTGCCTTGGTGGAGAAAGGCAGCTCAGGTGCCCCCTAACAGCTTGAAAGCAAACCTCAGAATACCTAACTACCATCAATGAATGATCAAAAATTTATATTCAGAAATAAATATGTCATTTAAAGTAGCATGAAATAAAACCAGGCATAGTGGTGCACGTCTGTAAACCCAGCAACTCGGGAGGCCGAGGCAGGAAGTTCTCAAGGTCAGCCTTAGCGATTTAGCCTTGTCTCTAAAAAAAAGGGCTGAATATGTTGTTCAGTGGTAGAGCACCACTGGGTTAAAACCCCAATATCGCAAAAATAAAATATGAAACTTGAATATTTAGCAGCATGTTTCACACACACACACACACACACACACACACACACACACACACACACACGACCTACA